AACTTGAGTTGTTAGTCTTTATTCAGCTGGACATTTTTTATTTTTTTATTAACTATATAAATTAGGGGGTGTATATGGAATGGGCTGGTTCAATTTTTATCAAAATCAAACCAAACTAATTATATCGGTTTGGATTGTTCGGTTTTGTTGGATTTTCGAATTTTTTGTTACATAAATATTATTTCAATCTTACTTTATTAAATTTTTTAGAACTAAATATATGTTCAGTAAAAATTAAAAAATTGAAAAATATATGATCTATAAAAATATTCTTATGGGAGAATTTTCTTAATAATTAGAATTTTTGAATTTTGTCAAGTGAAATTGGTGATGAAAATGGAGAAGACGTCAGTAATGGAGGAAATCGAATAAGGCAGAAAGAAAAAGGGAAAAAAAGAGAAGAAAATAAAAAAGAAGAAAGAAAAGAGAAAGGTAGAGAATAAAAAGTACTAATAAAAAAGAAATAGTGTTTGTAATATATTTTAATATAATTAACGAAAGAACTAATTAGTTTGGGTGGATTCCGTTTCGAAAAGGGCATATATGGGCCAACTGTGTAACTCTAAGGGCATATATGGACCAACTATGTGACGGTAAGGGCATATTTGAGCTAAAGTATTAACAAAGGGCAAATGTGCTCAATTTCGTATAATATAAAGGCATATTTGGACCTTTTCCGTTAAATATATACAATGTACTGAAATTATCCTTGCTAGCAATAATTAAATGAGTGATAGTCTGAGCTCAATATATCTTTTCCGTTTTTATTTCCTAATATAAGAGTGAATGTTTATATTAAGTGGATTAAAATAAGTCATGTTATTAAGGATAAAACAAAAACGTCAAACTTCAAATAATTTTAAATTAGAGAATGGTGTTGTTTTTGAACAAATTACACCATTTTTGAACAAAATAATTTTAAAATAAAAGTTTGTCACAGACAGATTGATTAAACACAAAATTTATAACGGTGGTATCAGTAACAACCGGTAACAACCATCCAAACAAGATGTAAAGATAACTTTTAAAAGTAATGATTGAAGTTAATTCAATAAAAAATCATCAATAATTAAAATTCCACTAATTTAACGATTTTCCCACTACTGTTTGAAGTTACATGTAATTTCTTGATTATTGAACAATCTCTTCAGAGACTAGCCAGGATCTTTTTACTATTTTCAACATGAATTTTTTAAGAAAACAATTCAAGATATTCCTTTTTTTTGTTGTTGGTAAATTAATTCAAGAGATTCCAATTCTTGTCACTTTTTGCCCTTTATGACGGGGCTAACAGCTAAAAGCAATACAGTTGGGATTAACGGATATAAATATTTTTAAATAGAGAGTCCATTACAAATGCCGACTGATACCAAAAAAACATTAGCCTAATTCGAATTTTAAAATGTTACATTTAAAAGTTTCATTAGCTATTATATAGCTGTTACATAATAATAATAATAATAATAATAATAATAATAATAATAATAATAATAATTGATTGCTCTATTCAAATGATTGAGAAAGGCTCAATGTTAAGTACTAAATGATTAGCGTAATCAACTTTACATATTTCAATACTTGAAATAAAGGGGTTGACAACCAACAAAGTGTATTTGTAGATCTTATCAAGCTATAATTTGAACTTTAATTTGAATTTTGCAACTCACATTCAAGTAATAGTGACATATTCTTTGACTTCAATATTTTTGGTGTATCAATTTCACGTCTTTCTCGTTTATTAGCAAATAGTTAGAAGAAAAACTTTTACGTATATTGTCAAGAAGTTTTATTAACATATATAGTTTTCTTAAATTTCTCTTCCTTTTTTTCCTACGAAAAATTGAATAAAGAGAATTTAGAAGACTTTTATGTGTTGTAAAATTCCTTCTCCTTTATACTCTTTGTTTCCTTGTTCCTTGTTCCTTGTTCTCTGTCCCTCACTTAAAGAAGGTGTAAAGATAAATAGGAATTAAAGAGAAAGGGCTCTAAGGGACCAAAAAAGATTCTCTTTTCTTCTTTGGCTTTATTTACGTACGTTGAAGAGATAAAAGAGGTACAGAGTGCAGGAGGAAAAGATGGGATATGCATATATGGATTTAGGATTAGAAGTTTGTGTTTACTGAATTCATAATTATAAATATATAATTAATTTTTTAATACATATATAACTCTAATAAGCAAAAGATATCGAATTTACGTAAACCTATAGATTACACGGTAGATCTGTCCGAGGATGGGCCATTGGAAAAGGAAAAGAAGACTTGGAATTAATAGGGAACCTTACGACATGCACATGCAAATGCAATTACGAGTATGCTGACCGACCCAACATGTATTCCAGTATTCGACATATGAACAATGACGCAATTGATCATATATTTTATTATATATATGCCCCCATTGAACCCAATTACCACCTCCTCGCATTTGGCCCTTGTTCGTCATTTCGCGGCGGCGTTACATTTACGGGTGTAAATAGGTCGGGTTAGTTCGAATTTTTTAATGATCAAACCAAACTAATTATATCAGGTTATTAAATCTAAAGATCAAACCAAACCAATAAAAGTCGGATTTTTAAATTTTGATTTTTCTCGGGTTTTCGGGTTGTTTCGATTTTTTTTTTTCATAAAGTCTTCATAGCACAAAACATAGAATTTGTGCTCCAAATATTTCTTTAATCCTAGTACGGCAGAACTATATAAGGTATTTTTTAATAAAATAACATAAATATGAGATGATTCATGGAATTGTACTAAAATATTCAACAATAAATTAAGATGAGAAAATCGCATAAAATAAATATTATTAATAAGCCATAATGAAAATAAATATATTTTAAAATTACTAATAAGTTGCTAAAATAAGTACGACTAATAAGTACTATTATTTACATGACTAAACACTAAAAGAAAAATAAGTTATGCATTTTATCTAACCCATGGAAAAATTAAAAAATAGATATCCAACATTATTTTCATTCATAGTTAAATTGAATTGAATGTCTTTTATTATCATTAGTATTGATTTAATTTTGGTTTAGGATTTATTTGAGTTACTAACATTTATGGACTATAAAACTTATTGGAGCATCCAAAAATTATAAGTCCAAGCTTGAAATAATAAGTTAAAAGATAAATTATAAAAAAATTTAAGAAATATTTATAAACTACACTACAATAAAAAATTTCATATATTAAATATATTTAAAACTTCTATACATATAAATTATAATATCGGGTTGGTTTGGTTTCGGTTTGACTTTTTTTAGTTAAAATCAAACCAAACCAAATATCGTCGGGTTTTATTTTTCAACACCAAACCAATCAAACCAAACCATAATCGGGGTTTTTTTTTCTCGATTTGACTCGAATTATCGGGTTGGTGGTTTGTCGGTTTCATTTGTACACCCCTGATTATAGCTCATAACAAATGTCCGACGTAGGGATAGAATCCTCGCCTTTTAGCCATCTATCTTTAGATACAAAGAGTTTATGAGTCACATAAGTTTAAGCCCAAAAATAAGGTTCGAAAAAAAAGAGGGTTGACTCGAAGACTAGGCCAACTTAGTGCGCCATGCCATACTTTAAGCTTTAGCCCCCCATAGATAGAACCTTTCACTTGACTGGTTGGTTAGGAGTGATATTTTTCCGCACATCTTTGTCACACCCCTTTTTCTACCCACAAAATAATATTGTGTGGATTAAAGAGTTTTTCTAATTAAAGTGACAAAATTGAGTAGGGATTATTTTATTTACAGAGTCGCCACTTGGAATTGATTTTGTTGGTGTTCCAAGTCACCTTTTATTTGAATCCCTAATCAAAGGAAGATTTGATTCTATTATTATTGGTCTGCGAAAACAAAGTCCGGGTAAGAAATTCTGTTAACCGGGGAGAAGGTGTAAGGCATTCCCCGAATCTCGTGGTTCTAGCACGGTCACTTTTATTGACTAAAATTTGGCTTGAATTATTTTTGGATAAGGTGCGTATTATTTGCCTTAAGTTACTATTGTCTAGTGCTGCTTAATAATTAATAATTTTGGCCTAGAAGCGTGCAAGCGCACAAAGTCCTTATTTGATTATATGTATTAAAACAAAGAACGTGTCGGTACACATGGTTTAAATATAATTAATATTGAAAAGTCAAGGAGTGGGAATGCACACATGGCTACTTTATTTAAAAAAAAAAAATATCGACCAAGGACCGTGTATGAACACATGGTCTACATCTCAAACGTGCCTAAAATTGCTTATCGCTTAAATTAATTAAAAAGTGCTTCTTTTTTATTTATTTCTTGTTCGACTGGAAAAAAAATATTATTATTAAAAATAATTTTTTCACTAATGCAAGACATTAAACCCGGGTAAGCTTATATTAAACTTTCAAGGTATTGGGCCACTTATTTTATTTAACAAAAGACAATTTATTGGTTTTAAAGAAAATACTCATCTTGCTTTCTATTGTCATTGGGCCTATAAATTTTTGCTTATTTGGCCCATGTTGCTTAAGAGCCTTGATGACCAAGACAACACAAAATAACAAGTATTCTTCTACGCCCAAATTGCTTCTTACATTGATGTCCAAACTAAAAATTACTTTTTTTTTCATAAAAGAAACTTACATGTCAATTATTATCTTTTATCTTCTTAACCAACTATTTCTTAAGGACTAACATAATATTTCTACTCATTTACACCAATCATGGCACTAATCAAACTATACTCATTAACAACATAGAAACCACGACCAAATATAAAAACTACAAAAAACGGTAATACTTCAATGCGAAAGAGAAGAACTATATTAAGTATAACATTATGTTGACTATAATTCAAAGCATCAAAATATTTGAAGCTAGAAGTCTTTCTTAGATAATTATACATGAACCATGAAAGTAACTCACGGAAAAGAGCCCAAACTAAACAAACATGGTTAAAAGTGGGGTCTTTATCTTTTCCTTAAACTAAGTAATCTTAACAGAATGCAATTTCAATCACATATATAAAGAAGAAAACGATAATTTAACTAATTTTTAACAGATTTACATGATGATAACACTAATATAACATTCATCTTGAAACAAAATCAGATCTAATATGTTCCATCAACCAAACCGGGATCAAATCCTTCTTATTATCATCAAGAATCTGCAATATAAGAATTTGAAAGTTACCTGGTTTGTGGAATAATAAAATACAGCAGTGCAGCAACAAAAAAAACTCAGCAGCAAATACAGTAGAAACAGCAGCAACTCAAGTGTTAAGACAACCCAGAAAATTCAACAAAGATGCTTGAAACTGGTAGCTATCAACTTCACAAATTGCCTAAGGGTTCTTTCTATTTTTCTCGAGGTTTTTGCACTCAAATAATCCTCATAAAATTCTGAAATTTCACTTTGTTATATGTATTAAGCTGCTGATTTTTCTCAAAGATATATGTCTTTAAGCAACTCTCCAAGATGTGTCTCAGTATACGATAGAGTGTGTAATAGAGTGTCCCTTTTTTCAGTCAGTAGGCCTCTGCATTCTAAGTGTAAGAGAGTCCCTTTTATAGGAGAAAAGCAGCCCTTTCAATAGGCAAATAAAGTAAATTTTTTGGACAGATTTTGGTTCACCAAAAATCTGTCCAAAAGACTGACTTTGTATGCTAAACACTGTTCAAAATCTGTCCCAAAGGTGAAAAGACAACCTGAAAATCTGTTGTGTCAGAAGCAAGGAAAAAAAATATCCTTTCAGCCACCCTACTAGTAAAAGTAAGGTACTATTACCCGATTTTGTGATAAAATAAACTAAACTTCAGATTTTAACCATCAACAACAAACTAATTGCTCAACACAAATCAAACTTGGACAACTATGAAATGACAAAGCATAGACGAGACTAAAAACGTAATTGAACTAAGTATTAAAACCAACTTGATGGGAATGAATTCGATTTGTGCAAACTAATTACTAAACAAACAACTAAATTCACAAACTAATGCTCAAAACAGAACGAGCATCGTTAACAATCGGACAACGACTAACAACAACTAAATAATCGACTAACTAAGTGAACGATTTAACTAATACACTAAAGATCATGTTTAAATCAATAACGAATCTAACAAACCACTAAACTAAATAGAGATAGCTAATTAAATAAACCTAACTTGAAACTCTAATTAACAAGAAATAACCAAAACAGAAAAATAAAAAAATAAAAAAAATTAGAAACTAATCTACTAAATAAAAAAAAATCAGAAATTAATTAAAGAGATGACGATTATACCTAACAAGTATGCTTGAAGCCGTTCGAGCCACGAGAAGACGCCGGAGATGCTAAAAGGCGACTACCCTACTCTGAAACGCATGTTTCTTTTGGGTAGATGCTAGAACGAAATGCGTTTCAGCATCTCGCCAAAAGAAACGAGTGTCTTTGAGTCAAAAAATAGCTAAAATGGGGGTTTGGAGCATTTTGACGGTGGTGAGGCGGTGGAGCCGTGGCGGCAGCGAGGAGCGGGCCGGCGGCGACGGGGATTTTGGGGATGAAATGGGTAGGAAAAGATAGGTCTCGTGGAGCTCTATCTATTCATGTATGTGTTGTAGGGTGGTGTTGGCCGGAGCTTCAAGAATTTGGACCAAAA